GCTATTCTAATGCGCGAAGGACCGAATGGGCGAAAAAACTCGTGAGCGAAGGACAGAAAACAAAATTAGGCGAAAGTCATTTTGTAAAAAGAAACTATTTGCCATTCAACTAAAATTAATTAAGTGAAGCAATATATTGCTTCTTTCATACCAAAACTCTTGAAGTTTAAAATTTGTTCCAATGCGGCGGCGGTCAGTGACAATTTGAAAATTTTACATATTTCTGTCGTTTTTATATTCGGCCAATATCAATAATCAGTCCCTCGAAAAGTTTACTTTCTTTTCAAATTTTAGATTACTGAAATCTGATTGGTAAATTTTTATTTTCGCGCATTCAGTCCTTCGCGCATGAGGAATTCCACCGTTCTGCTCGTCATGATATCTATAACTTCGCGCTACTCCTTAGTCAAATATTGAATTTTAGTATCACTCTTAAGGAAGATAGATCAGAGCTCTTACACTAGTGGACAAAATTGAGCGCAAACTCAGGATTTTACTCTGTAAAATGCCTGTTTTCTATGTACATTTTGAACAACATTTTCTTCGAAATTCAGTAAAATTTTTACATAGACCGAGAGCAAATGATCAGAGCTACCATCTGTGAAAGTATCAATTTTTGGTTTCAATGACTTACCAATGTAATCTGGGTCTGAAAATGCCAGTTTTCCTCATCTGCACTAAGTTTTGCATCGTAGTGAAATTTTTCTTGAATAAGCAAAGTAAAAACTTCTCAGCGAGAAAATGGAAGCAATCAATGTGAAACTTTTACAAAACTCACAAACGTTTGTTACTCATTCACGCGAAGTAATTAACTAAATGCAGATGAGGAAAACTGGCATTTTCAGACCCGGATTACATTGATAAGTCATTGAAACCAAAAATTGATACTTTCACAGATGGTTGCTCTGATCATTTTCTCTCGGTCAATGTAAAAATTTTACTGCATTTCGAAGGAAATGCTGTCCAAAATGAATATTGAAAACACGCATTTTACAGAGTAAAATCTAGAGTTTGCGCTTAATTTTGTCCACTAGTATATCTGGTTTGATGATTAAACTTTTTAAACTTGGGTCTCTGAGTTCAAAAATAGGAACAAATAGGGTTAAAAATTGGGTTAATTTTTAGTTTTGCGATGATACCACACTTCGAAACCAGTACCTGGCACTCTATCTCTGAGGAATTTGGTCATCCGTCTTAGGAACAAATTCTCATCACTGTTCCTCGCATAAAGGCCGCGCTTCCGCTCCACCAAGTTCTCCACCTCCTTTATAAAAACGTTGTCGCTGGCTGCCATTCGTTTGGCGCGCCGCAGAGCAGCTTTCGGTGAGTTTTCATCTTCCCAAAAAGACAGCAGCCCGAAGTAATTAAAAGAGACAATAGCGACTACTATAAGAAAAGGAACAAAGCATAATGCTATTCTGTAGTTCGAAATTGTCATTCTGGCATTTTCTTATTCTTTTGATTTCTTATAGAAAAAAAAACTTTTGGCTTAGCGTTTTGACTTTTGGCAATAAGTGCATCTGCAAAAAACTGTTGTTGCATTCTTATTGTAACGAGATTGACGAAAGTGTGAAGTGTCTAAGACATCGAAACGGAACTTAAATTTTTGCAG